GAGCTTTTTATAAAAAGTCTATGCTGCAGAATGAAGTTAAAAGTAGAGTGTTCATCATACCTGCATCTGCGATGAAGGTTTTATGGTCAATGTTTTTCATAAAATTAAAATGAATCTACTTTATCACTGTTTATCACTAGAGTTGCAGCATTTACTGAACTGTTGTTGTTTTTTCATATCGTGCATGTCGGTTAGTTCAGAGGTCTTTCAACTGACACAATCCTCAGATCCAAGTTCACAATTTTTAGAAATAAAGCTCTGGAATTCAGCTGGACATGAAGCAGTGCAGCAACAAACTAACATTGTGCTTTTACTTTGAAGACAAATTGCCAAACAAGAAGTGATTCTATGAATGCTGTCATGCCAGAGATCAGTTCCTGTGACTCCACTGAATGTCTTTCTCAGTCTGATATGCAGAGTTTGTGATTGTGAGCAGGGATTTAACCTAGTCACTGCTGTAATTTATCCAAGGTAGAAGAAAACAACTCTTTTTAACTCATTCAGCGCACACACACACACACACACACAAACACACATACACAGAGACTGCTGGTCGCCTGTTTATTTCATTTTTATTAATATTGAATGTATCTCATGTTTACAATAGACATGCCAAGTGTGAAGTCGATAAGATGAACGGGATATGCGTTCCACGTTCATCCAGAGAGACAGTAATATTAGTATGTCGATGACCAGCCTCTAAGCTAATTTGTCTTTGTATTATTAAGCTTCTATTACCAATAAAGAGGAAAAATAACAGATGAGAAAGGAAACAAAATTACTAGTGTACAAAATACCAATATGGCAGGTTCTGTGCAAACAATATTCTAACATCCCGCATTGTTCAAACATTGACGTGTTTGTCTTGCTGATGCAGAAAAAAAGAAGACTAATTACTCAGTACTGAAGTCATTCAGTTGATTGGGACGAAGCTGCTGAGTGGACACAAATCAACAGGACCTAACAGTTAGCACAGCATCACAATGCAAATCCATACACGCATCTTTGTTCATGTAGAGCACTGTCTTCCATGCAATGTTTGTGTGAAACAAGGCAAACTACCGTTAAACAGCTTCATGTCTCCGTTTTCCACTTGCCGGGCCACATCAGGAAATGTAAAGACTAAGTGATGTTTGGTTTGGGGGTTTTACATTTCACTTTAGCCCCAGGCCTGGAAGCCATTAAGGCCTAATCTGAATCCTGGTCAGTGCTTGCTCCCTGGAGCAGAAAGTATGGTTTTATTAGCATCAAATCATACACAGCATTGAGAATGCACACACACACACGCAAACACACACACACATACTGGCATAGACCCAGTGCACATCCAATAATGGTGAAACAGCATCTCATTACTGGCCATTAGATTTGTATTACTTTCATTTGAACTGGCTTAATTTCATATTCATAAGGGAAACAAAGTCACAACATGAAATAGTGCCACAGCTGCATGATGGGAGCTGAGAGACAAGGCCAGGAACAAATGATTCATAAAATGAAACAGTTTGAAAATGTCGTTTATGATACGGGGGCAGGACGTCCATAATTACTGACAAATTGTAACGCCCACTAATGTGCTGACAAGTATGACTACTGTAGGTAATTAAGCTCATAAATACATCAGGTTTTTGAGTGACAATTTTTTTTATCAGAGGCTAAATGTAAATTTATGTGCGTGTGAGTGGAGGTGGGTGGGTGGAAAAGAGGGCAAAGAGAGTAAAACCTCCTATCTCTTTGGCACAGTGTCCATACTGAGTAGCTGTTACTAACGGACACAGGACATTAACTGGCTCATTATCAGCCTCCCACCATATGGACTCAGGACGGGGTGGGTCAGAGCTGCAGCCGCCCCAATCAGCGCCCCTCTAATTAGGACAATCATACCATCTCCATCACGAGGGCCGGTTACAAAAAAAAAATGGTGTCGCGCCCTCAGTGAGATTGGTGTCGCTGAGCCCAGACTCTGAGAGGCAGGGAGAGGAAACCGTGAGTGCGATTCAGCAGGCAACCCACAGAACTCTCAGAGCAATTACCCCCGGATGAGAGCTGGCGGAGTCAGAGGTGGGGAAGGCAGAGAAGAGAGCGAGAGAGGTGGAGGGCAAGTGAAAAGAGAGGAGACAACAGAGGGGGAGCGGTGGAGAGATGCAAGGTGGCGAGGGTTAAAAATCTGGGCCACGGTGAGCGGTTACAGTGTCAATGAAGTTAACACCGAGGGCTGTTGGATCGATCGGGTGCGAGGATGTACAGCTGTATCCTACTGGACAAGGACAAAGACTTTGTTAAATGCATTTAACCTCTGTTGGTCCCATTGAACTCTCGAGTCTCTCTGTTGAAACCTAGTTAAAGGAGTAGTTCAACATTTACAAAAATATTCTAGTTTATCATTCTGTTCATCTTTTGTGTACCATGATTATGATGACACCAAAACCATGTGATGTGTCGTAGATCTCAAGTGAAGAACTCTGATTCAAGTACAACTTCTGACTCGATTCTGACTTGAGCTCTTCTGACTTGAACTTGGACTCAGGCTTGAGCACTGTCTGCATTTGGACTTTTGTAATGGGCCTCCCCGTCTCCTCTCTCCCCTCTTTTCTAGCCACTTCTCCTGTGTACCCCAGTATCTCTCCTCTTTCCTCTCCGGTCGAGGCAGATGGCAGCTTACAATTAACCTGTTACTGCTGGAGGCTTCCAGCTTCTTTTTCTGTTTTTCTCTCTACATTTGCCAAGTGTTTGCTCATTGTAGGAACTGTTTTATTTTGTGGTTTGGTGCTTTACAATAAAATTGTATACACTCGATGATTTTATATAAGACATTAATAACTTTGTTACTTACACATTAAATTCAACCTTGATGACTCAGACTCGTACTCAGGTTATAACGACTTGACTCTGACTTTTCTTTGGCGACCTGGACTCGAACACAAGTCTTTATGCCAAGCAAATCTAATTTTTTCCCCACCTTTTTGTACACGTTACTCAGCTAATGAGTGTTCTACAGTTGGAATGGCACATACATATATTTTCATACGTATATGTTGTGTCATTGAGCACAAGAAAAAACAAGGTGCATCATGTCATCTGAGAAAAGCGGCATCAATTTTACACAGTCCAAGCAAACATTAAAGGGAGACGACATCTTCAAGCAAATGCAGTTTTCCTTCCTAGAGTTCCAGCCATTTCCACCAGTGATGTTTTATCTTCTTTATTTTCATAGCACAACCCTCAAGTCTTCAGTTGGACCCTAAAGGATGCCTGCAGATCGATGTGCAGGTGCACACTGACAGGAGCAAAAAGAGGAGAAATGTCCCCTCTTTTTTTTCTTGGAATAAGACAGAAGCATGATTAGAAGCGATGGTTGGGGAGACATGCTCAAGTTTGTGTCCACCACCTGTTACATTTGTTCCTGCAGTCTGTGTTCATTAGCCAGTATTGACCATGTTGTACAGCAAATGGAAATCAAACTGGGATCCTGAAAACAAACTGTTATTGATTGTGAAAGTAAGTTGAATAAACAGCATGCAAGAGGCTACTTCGAAGGCTGACTCACATGTCAGAGTCCTGCACTGGCTCTGGTTTTATTTGACTGCATGTTACACTGGCTGCCCTGTGGAGGAGTTATTTGCGTTTGGGTTGAGTCCACTTTATGTAACAGGGTGTTGTAGGAGTGAAACTGGCATTTATGAATGGCACCCTGCAGGATCAGCTTTTCTGGAGGCTGACTGACAAGGCTGCTACACTGGAGGATGGGGTATATTTTCTTAACTGGAGTTACCTTAAACATTTTTATGCTTTAACACTAAACCATTTAGAATTCCTCCCCTTAAAAGAGATGAAAACCATCTTTAAGAATTTTTGGTACAACATCAGATAGTAATCTTAGACAAATGAATTGATGTAATGGGAAGTTTCTACTCTGTAAAGCAGGGTAATCCACAGTTATTCAGAAGCAGGGAAATCTCTGCCTTAAGATGAAAAAATAAATGATGTGTATTACCTAGTAATTGAATGAATTAGTGACATGTAGACTCTTGATGGAGGGGTAAACATCATATTGCAAGTGACGAGCACAGGGCCTATTTGTGATTACAATCTATTGCATGGAGAAAAATAAAAGGGCACTGCTCAATAAAAAGGACTCTCTACCTGCCATTGGGTTGATAAGCACGTATATAAATGAGTTAGTGACATGATTTCACGATGTAGGTCAAGTCAGTGTAATTATTTCTTTTGAGAGCTGCATGATTTTAAAAATACTTTAGAAGACAACACAATGGCACACTGTGACAACTTAATTGAGTTACACGCACACACACACACACACATTATTGTATATGCACTTAATAGTTGAGGATATAACAGAATAAGCAGCAATACACTACTTTTGATTATATGAATAAAGGTCATACAGTGTAATTATCACACAGCAGAGTCTGTCTTTGTTTTTTTTTCTACACACATTCAGATCAGTGATGTAAGAGTAGTAATTTCAAATTACTCTCCAGGTGTATTTTTAAAAAAAGGAGTCAATGAAAACCAAGAGTTAGTTTCTTTTCATAAAATTAATTACAACTGTATAATATTGAGTATATTCTGCCTGCTGTCATCAGCTGCTTCACAGACAGAACTTTTATATGTATGTGGATGACATTTATTCCAAAACAATCTTAATGATAAAGAGGATTCTTAATGCTCTTAATCATAGATTTAGTCAGTGTAAGAATAGTTATACATTTCAAGAAACTCTTGCAAATTACAACTGGGAAGTTTAACAAGTTCAAACAATCTACGAATACATGAATCCTTAAATGAATTCCAAGGTTTGAAATAAATAAAATACATGGTCAGCGTTTCATTTCCCAGATAATACTCTCTATGTACAGGAAGCTGATTTGTCTGTGTGACTGCCTGTCACCGCCTATCCCCGCCTCCCTATTGACTATTGGTTGTTGGGAAACTTTTCTTTGCACGCTATTGGCTGTGAGGTGGAGCGGGCGGGACAACTTCCAGGAAATACTAAGGGTCTGTTTTGGTTTCGCAGCGGGACAGTGAAACACTTTATGGACTAAACATCCCAGCAAGACGTTTGGTTTAAATATTACCGCGACAGTTCGACGTGTTCCTGCTCAGAAAACACATCTGACGACGTTCGAGCCGGTCCCCTCAGAGGTCGGTAGATCTGTGTTCATACATTCATATCGAACCACCACCAGCTGCTGTGTGTGTTGGAAGAACTGTCATACCAGAATTTCCAGGATGGTAAATGTGAAAGTTGTTGTTAACCTTCACAAGAAAGAAGTCCCACTGTAATTTTTGTTTTCATATTCGACTCAAAGGGTTTAGAGTCTGCACACCTATAGCTAAATTAGTTAATCCACTTTAGTCACAGCTACAATGAGAAACATATTTATCTGTGTGACGTGATTGTTTCTTACATATTTTATTTGACTCGTTTTCTAGAACTTTCCAGTTTCCATGGCGCCACCGAAAAAGAATGTGCTTCCAAATCCTCTCCCAGAGGGATTCGTACTGACAGACAGCGAGAAAAAGAAATGGAGGCTGGGGAATGTCATCGGTCAGGGTGGCTGTGGACTGATTTATCTTGGTACTGTGTCTGACAACCAGTCCCCACACATGCACACACCATGTACATGCTCACATATGCATGTGCACTCAGATGTATAGAATAGACAGGGTTTCTCCTGGGTTTTAAAAAGTCCTGAAAAGTCAACCATTTATAAATATCACATACTAGGTCTTAAATACATAGGTAGGTGCTATATATGTTCAGTTTAATTTAATGGTACTTCTGCTATGATTCAGTTTTTGTTTTGTAAGTGAAATGTTTTGGAGCCATGCATATAGTTTGTAATGTCACTGTTGTTCTCTCTTACTAATGCAGAGTTTAGCAAACTATAATAAAACTACAAGCAGATATAAGTAAACTTTAATTAAACTACAAACAAGACCAACTTGAAACTGGTAATGATCTACAATCACCCAGTCAAAATATATCGCAGTACATTCGGCTGTTAGAAAGACATTGGATACCAACTCAGTTTGAGAGATAACGTGGCATATTGAGGGTTATTCTCTACTTGTCTATTTCACCCTATCTTTATTTATAGAGAAGTGAAAGTAATTTTGGGAATCCATTATTCATTCTTCTGTTAATTATCATTCGCTTTCGGTCTTAAAGTTCAGTTGTTGAACCTGCAGAAATCCAGAATAGAAGTCCTTCTCTGCCAGATACATACATGGTTTGAGGGAGACACTTTGGTGTATCTCTTTTTTCCTTTTGTTTGTGAAGGTTGTCTGAACAAATCAGTCACTTCTCAACTCCTCTAATCTATGAAGACCTTTGTTTTCTGCTCAGCTGCTCAATGCAGCTCTTTGCAAATTTCTCCTCTGTTCTTCAAATACATTAAAAACCTCCAAAGGATTTGATCCACCCCACCAGTTAAGACTTAACATTCACATTTTTGTAGCCCTCATTTTCTCTCCTCTCTGTCTCCTCTCGTCTTCAAGCCTCTCTGGGTGTTGGCAGGCCTGCCACAGCAGACACTGACTTTGTCATAAAACTGGTGAGTATATTTATGCTGCATGCAGACAGCCTGTTCATCTTCAGGTGCACTGCAAATGTTAGTACAGACAGATACATCATGTACTGGAAGTTGAAAGCAGCCATTTTTTGTTTACTTCACCAAACATTGTGTAATCTGGTTTGAAGCCACTGGGAATCATGTGATATGAACAACTAATGATGACCAAATATAATTCAGTATTTGACAATGAAGCAAAATGGAAGTTAAGTCAGTGTGATGGTTGTTCATCTTGCACTTGGACTACTATCAGACTACTATTTATGAGTAGCATGCCATCCTAAGGTGGCGCAAATCTATTATACAGTCACTTATTGGATTGCATGGTTTGGAATAGCCTTCAGGATGTGAACATTTCATGAAAATAGGCAAATTGTGGCTGGGTGAATAGATTACGACTCCAGAGACAGGTTTTTGTTCACACCTTGGACTGTGTTCAATGTCAAACTGGCAAATTGTCCTCCCTTGACATGCACCTTTTATTCAAGTGATTGGACGAGAGAAGGAACAGAACTCTCCTGACAGCATCTCCTTTGTTTCTCATAACTGATGTCACAAAAACAACAAACCACAAACCGCATCTCTTTGTTCTTAAACTTTAGGAAATAGTTTTTTGTTTGATACAAAACACTTTGAAAGCTTGAGAAAGGATTTAGAGATATACAACATAAATGAAAGGTTCAGATTTTTCATTGCCATACTCCTTGTTAATCTACAGTCCATGATACATTTATAAATGTGCTTCACATTTCAGATGAATCCAAACGCAGACCAGTGAACAAATTCTATGGTTTGGTTTGACATGGGCTTTGTCTTCACCATGAGCAGTAACTTCCTGCAATATACACTAGTTCAACCTCAACCTCACTGTGTCTGCCAGATTTTAGGAAGTTACTCCATCACATAACTATGATTATGTAAAACCCTTTTTCTTTACACTTTTTTTTACACTTACACAGATTAAACAATATAGCAGAAGTGTGTTCTGGCTAAGTGGCTTCTGGCTGAAGATTAAAATTAGATTTAATGGCCAGACATCAGTAAGAACTATAGAGAAGAATGAACTGTACTTGTAGTATTTATAGCACTAATTAAAAGGTGACATTTAAAACACAAGATTTAAAGAAGCCAGATGTTCCTCACTACTTGACATAGAAATTACTCATCTGGTAGAAAGGTAGAGGGAACAGGAAGAAAACTTGAACAAGGAACCGAATGCACAGGCAGATTTATGTGTGGGATGATGCTCATTGGTTTGGACATTGCTCAGTCAGCCGAATGCAGCTTTCACTAACATACTGTGTCTTGTATGTGCAGGAGTACCATGAGAATGGTCCCCTGTTCTCGGAGCTCAAGTTCTACCAAAGGGCAGCCAAAGCAGAGAGCAGTGAGTAGCACCACCTGTCTGGCATCCCAGCAGCTCGCTGGAGCACGAGTGTGTTTGACTGATGAAGTGGCCGCAGACAGAGGCTTTGCTGCGTGCCACACAGTAATTAATAATAAGCCAAAGCAAACATGCACCTCAATGGTAGTCAGCCCCCCTCTCCGAGCTTGTCTGGCCTCTCCAGTGCCTTCGCTAGGAGAGGAGCGAGAGACAGTGAGCCACTCACACGTAATGACGCCCGGGCCTCCGCTGAGCCCCTGACCACCTGCCAGCCTGGTGCAGCGCCAGTCAGGCCAGTAGCCATCAAGTCCTGAGCCAGACCCACTGCTTTGTCTGTTGTGCGACTGTATCTTCAACACTTTAAGATTAATATTCATACACATTCATTATTACACTTATAAGGACAATTTTTCCTACTTTACATATAGTTTAAGTTTTGACTCCTGTGAGAAGCTGTTAAACTGGGGCTTTGCTCAAGGTTACGAAATCATAAGAATCTGAAATAGTTGGAATACGAAAAAAGTTTTTCCAGCTGCTAACCCTAAGCTTAATAGATCCATTAGTTCATTTAGTGGTCCAAGACACCAGAGTTTCAACTGTCTTAATATAGCAAAAGTTGTTTTCAGTTTTAATTTAGTGGGGAGTGTGACTCCTGTTACATCAGTCTTTTCAGACACCCACTATTAGAACCCCGGGTGTGTAAAAATAGGAATGTGGGTACACACATTTACACAATCATTCTTCCTCTAATTATGTTCCAGTGCAAAAATGGATGTGCAGGAGGAAATTGGACTTCCTGGGCATCCCGACCTACTGGGGATCAGGACTGGCTGAATATAATAACCTCAGGTATTTACACAGCCAACATGCGGGGGACAACATGTTGTAATTATGATTATATAATGTGTACGGCTTCCTTTTTTGAGTGTAGAAACAATATCAACATTTGTTTTGCATATCAAAGTATTACTGCCAAAATCTAACCAGACTTTTATTCCATGTTGTTTCATAATCTGAGATTAATGTTCAAATGGAGAATTTAATTTTGACCTGAGCATTTTAATTCAGTTTCTTTAATTTAACTACACTTAATGGGCAGAACTTCAAAATAAAAGGTACTTACCACATAGCAAAGTAATTGGAGCGTAAAGTAAATTACCTGTTAGGCTTTCACTACGAGGCCAATGGGCATTTGTATGTTCGATACTTGACCCGGAGGGCATCTGTACTTATGTGTGTTGTGTTGCAGTGTGAGAAAATTCTGGGTAGTGGTGTGAAATATATGAAATCCTGCAACTGACACACATGTGAAGAGGTTGTTTGTGCTCTCCTGAAGAGTGGATTGATCTGCGTTAAACTCAGGTTTCAGGGCACACAAATGGTCCAGAGAGCACAACGTACTTTATGCAACTTGTGCACTGGCCACACCCTCAGTTTCATTATTTAGACATAAAACTTGTTTTTGTTTAACTTTTATGTATCTGTGGGTGTGTCCATGTCACTGATTATTAATACTTTGCCTGAAACTGCAGTTATCAAGTGAAATTGCAGAGTAGAGCGCGACTCGGGCTGGATTTTTCTGTCCGGACCCGACCCAACCCATCATGTCCTGTTGAGTAGCATAGTCACACTCTACAGAGAGAGCTTTACACTTTACAATGAGGCAACAGGGCAAATCTTTTTAGAGATCTTTTTATTATACAGTAGTTAAAGAAGTGGGCCATCACATTAAGGGTAATTAACATACTGCACATAACGTCAAGATTTTCCCAGACAAAGCTATCTTTGTGATGTCATAATTGATGATGTCACTAAACTTAACACTTGCCATTAGTCTTTATGTTTTTCAAGAACCCCTCATTTAAAAGAACTTCGCAGTCAACACTACACTTCAATGAGTCCTCAACAGTAAACATATGAAGGTTGAAGTAAATCATACGAGCCATTGTCAATAAAATGATATTTATAATTAGAGGATCTTTCTTATCCATTTACTTATGTGACTTATTTTCACGTAAGATTTTGTTTCCTCGAGCTTATGAATGGCTTCAAATATCAGTATTAAGATCCACTATAAAATGTCACCTTGCTTTTTTTAAGTTATGATAATGTTTTCTGTGTTACTGTCTTACATAATGCTTAACTCCTTCTGCAGTCTATAATTATGCTAATTATGTTAGACATTTAATGGCTTTTCCTTGTGAAAATTATGTGAAAAAGCAGCTTCCTCTTTTATTTAATTACCCCAGACTTGGTAAATAAATCACCCTTTGGAGACACATCATTTTGAAGTCATTGTGACTTTCCTCATTCCTTACTACAAGGGAATAGTATATGATAAAATTCCACTTTAGCAGTTATTGTAAGGTTGTTTAAAAGCTGTAATGTCTGGTGTGTGACTCTCAAAAACACTTGAGGCATATCAGGAATTGGAAGATGGATTGTTATTCAAATCCAGGATCTCAACCTCTTTCACTCAGGTATCGCTTCATGGTCATGGACCGACTCGGCACTGACCTCCAGAAAGTCTGCGATCGCAATGCAGGTAGACTGAAAAAGGCCACTGTGCTCCAGCTTGGTCTAGGACTGGTGAGATATTCACAATACTCTATTGATTATTGCTTAAGGAAGCTGGATAAAGCTGGAGCTCCAGCAGGTCGTATTGAGAAAATTCAGGCCGAAAGCCACTTGAACAGACGTCTTTGTTGTCTGTCTCCTGTGTCAGGTGGATGTACTGGAGTATATCCATGAGAATGAGTATGTCCATGCAGACATTAAAGCTGCCAACCTCATGCAGGGCTACAAGGACCCTGATAAGGTTTGTACACTTTAGAGCAACAACGATGCCAATGTCAGCTGTCAGTCATTTTAATAAAGATTACACCTCTAAGAAGATAGGATACATTTGTGTTTTTGTCAATGTGGGTGCCTTCTGTTGTGTTCTGTAGATCTACCTTGCAGACTATGGGCTGTCCTTCAGATACTCCCCTGAGGGAGTCCACAAAGAATACAAGGAAAACCCCAAGAAGGGCCACAATGGAACCATCGAGTACACCAGCCTTGATGCCCACAAAGGGACTGGTAGGCCTTTTATTTCAGTAGCAGAGAATAGGGTTTGTCGCAGTAGTCAGTGTTACTGGTGTTACACGTTTGTTACACGGTGTTCAGGCACATACAGATTATATGTTTTACTTTTAGAGGCATAAAACCTCACATCACAGTAATGGACTGACAAGGAGGACGAGGATTCTGTGTAAGAAGATTATGAAAACGTTGGATGTTTTAAGAGTCTACTGAGTGAGAGGACGAAAGAGAGAGAAAGAGGTGCTGAGCGCTGTACACTTTACAATGAAGCAACATCTTTTCACTAAAGATTTTTTATCCTATTATGAGAAGTGGACCATCACAGTCTGGGTAGTTAAACACTGCACACAACTTCAAGTGCAGCAAGAGAGTGAGGCTGTCTGCAATGAAATCTAACATAAATGTCTTCTCTTGTTAAATGTCCGATGTAATCGATTACACCATCACAACCCGGAAAATGTCCACACTGTGGCATCCCTAGAAGAGAAACTCTGGAGAAAAGGACCTGACATTTGGTTACATTTAATTTCACATGATTCCCTCTTTGCCATGACATGGGTCAGTATACTGGCCTACAGCTCTGCTTTCAAAGAGAAGGTCTGCTGTAGTTCCTAAATTATCTAGATATTGTGCCAGATTATAGTGAGGTTCTTCACTTAAACTCAGTTACCTGTTGTTTGTGTTGCAGTAATTGCAGAGGGAAGCTCTAGAGAGCAAGAAGTGATAAGATGTGACACCCCTCTTTTTTATTCAGATCAATACGTTTTCTAAGAAGAGACTATATAACACAGTCCTTACATAGTAAGGTACCTAGTGTGGACGGCACCAATCAAAGAAAAGTGGTCTTTTGCCTCTCGTTGAGGTCTCATTAAATTTCTGTAGCCCTGTGCAATTTGAATCCTTATCCATTTCCATACATCAACACATTTAAGTATATCTCTGCCGCTCTGATCTTTACTTTAAGTCCTATTAATAGTTATTATTGGCCGAACCAGACTCTACTTACCAGAGGGACAATAGTTGCATCAGTTTTAGCTAAGTGGTCCTCAGAGGGTGCCAGTGTAACAAAAGGTGACATATAAGAAAAACAAAATAAAACTGACACAATGTTTGTTTTCTCTCAGTTGCTTTACAAAAAGCTAATGTGCTTAATGGGAGGTGGCTTTAATTTACAACTAGTATGAACTAATGAGAGGCACCGTACAGAAACAAGAGTCCTTCACCATTTCAGTGACAGACAAACGCTCTCAAGAAACCAGTGTGTTTACTGGGTTTCATTTATACATACATACTTAAGGGTCCAGTGTGTAAGATTTAGGTGAAAGGGAATTTAATGTAGAATAATCCTCATGATATTTTCACTAGTTCCTTTCATCTAAATTGTATGAATTGTAGTTTCCTTTACCCCAGAAAAGTCCCTTTATATTTAAATACTTTATATTTACATGGAGGGGACCCTCTCTACGGAGGCCGCCATGTTTTTTACATTAGTCCAGACTGGACAAACTAAACACCTTTTGAGTTTTTATGACAACTGAAGCTACCACAGGTTCTTTTTCATGTTTGGAAGGAGAGGGTGAGGTGAGGGGTGTTCAGCTGCAACATGCAACTTCAACACTAGATATCACTAAATTCTACACACTGTACCTTTAAATTTATCGTTGCCTATTTGTCACTAAATTACCTTTCTGTGAGAAACCTTGAAATCATAGCTACACTGGACCGCAGACAAAAACTTTTCCATCGCTCATAAAGGATGTTTTAAAAATTGAGAGGGCCTCAAGGTTATGCACCTCTGCTATGTAGGTTGTTATTGGTTGCTGAACCATTTGTTGTGGAGGTTTTTTTTATCGTTTTGTTCACCTCTCCAGGGCCTACAAATACTATATATACTGCACAGAAAATATAGAAGGAACAACAATGACTACACAATTTTGAAATCTTTTTCTGTGTAATGTTGAGTAAAAAAGTTTTTTAAATCTGAAAGTTCAGCAGTCTGTGAAGTGGTTATTATAACACATATCAACATTTTATCTACATTTTCCAGTCTTACTTTGTTGACTTGATAGCAGTGCCAAGTAGGTGTGCTACTGTGACGAACTAACAGGGGAAACCCTCTTGATTTCTCTTTCTGTCTGCTGATTTGAGCATTTTCATATTTTCACTGCATTTATATCAACCCCACTCAAAGCTTTGTCCTTCGCAGTCTCTGTTTGTTTGTCAATACATGTAAAATAGTCTCCACGCCCTGCCACCCTCTGCCTTCCTCAGCTGATATTGGGAACACATTAACTGGCAAATTGCCGACATGCTCCCTCTCCTCATTGACCATCGATTCTCCATCTGCAGCCCCTGCTGAATTCCTCGGCACCGTCTTGTCTCTATTTAACAGCTCCCTAATTAGCTGAAGTCATAACCTGCACTGTGTATTCATCTACCATTAATTAAGGGCTTTGGTGTTTGGTTAGAGCGAGACTCGAGCCACAGATAACCTCTGTGAGCCCCACGCCGTCCGGCTCCCCGGCTCCACCAGTTCGATACCGTATGTTAGTGTGGCTCTTCCTGCCTAATTGCCGTGGCACTGCTTTTATCAACTTGTTCGATAAATAAAAGAGGGACAGAAAATGTCCTGTCAGCAGTTATCAAATGGAATGCATTTTAGAGTTAATATGATTTTGAAAGGCAGAGGTCTGCATACATGAAGCAATTTAAATGTCTGTATTATACTAGTGCTTCAATGAACTGAAGAAATCTAAAGCTTTGGGAAGGAAACATTAATATGTTGTGTTAGAGTATTTTCTATTGGCGCATGGAGATTATGACCGAGGACCAGACCCTCGCCGGCCTCTTTCTGACCCGATTGCACCAATACCCACAAAGATGTTGACAGGTTGACAGGTTGCCATGGTGAGCTTTGGCAAACACGGCTCGCGAGTGGCAGGCCTTTGAACACAGAGCTAAACGGTGTAATTATCGCCATTCGGTGGGCGTCCAGCGAACAGAAGACCGTCTCCCGACAACAAGACTGTGTAGCAGAAGGGTTAAGAGTGTGACACTGCGGCGCGCTTTAGGGAATGTGAATAACAATAGGAGATAATTAACAACATCATTGCTGCCTCACCTCCTTGTCGAAAGCATGTAGAGAAAGTGTGCGTGTTTATGTGGGTGTTTTGTATTCATGTGTTGAGCGTGTGTGTGTGTTTTTCAAGCATGTCCAAGCTCCCCCTTTGAGAAGGGTTTAAATGTATGTGTGCGCAAATGCATATCTCTACACTGTCCTGTGCTATTCATCATATGAGGGCAACACAAGTTAAATAAGGAAGAGCAGACGCACAAAACACCATTATGAGCTGTGATAATGTGCCGAGAGCACGCACAGAGGGCAGCTACGCTTAATGTAGTTGTTGATCTTTTTAATTGTTAATCTATTATGGCGCTCAGGGAGTTGCTATACTTTTTCCAGTGTCAGTATTTGTCATCTTTATTCTCCTTCAACAAGCTCTCGGTAGCGATGAAGTACTGTGTAATTATTTCCAACAGTTGGAAGCCGCAGTGTAACGCTGACTTAATACATACATTGCAACTAGAGTGGCAAACAGACCTAACTCTTGTCATCAGAGTCATTGTGATTAAGTAAACAGACAGCAAACAGACAATGACCGTTTCAAGTTTGAAGCAGCATGTGCAGTTTGTTGTTGTTTCACTGTAGGGTTGTGGAAAGCTTTTTATTTTAATAAGTGGTCATTAAAGTTCCATTATTATTCAGATTAGGCAATCATGAAGAGCATATTCCGACATTAAATGAGCATACAAGAGAAATGCAACTAAGTCAAATGAAAACATGAAGATGTATGAACCTCTTTTATCAGTTAGTTTGTTGTCATTTAACTCTGGAGAAATGAGACCATGTCCGTCCCAGGGATGTTATATTTCCATCATGTTTTCTGCATGTGAGGTTTGACTGGTGTTCTTTTAATGCTGTCACTTAATTTCTTTCTCTTTGTGTATAGGTTGCTCACATTTCAATCAAGTGACATTTCACCTTTAAACCTCTCTGATTGTCAAAGTACCCAAAACAGCGTAGGTTTCAGAATCGCATCTCCTTCATTCCAACCTCGTTAACCAAATCTAAACTCAGATTTATCTTGTGACCATCTGGGAGTCTCACTAGGCCACTGTAGGTTGGGAAAGTGGACTTAACAATGTAATTACACATAAACTACATATGTAGTAAGTTAAAGAGTATCTGAATAAATACAGTGATTTGCTGTTAATAGTGATGCATCAGCAATCTAATCATTTTATACAGATAATAAGTAATATATCAGTCACACAGGCCTTTCTGAGAACGTTAGTATTTGGAATGCAGAAGTGCTTCTAATGGTGAATGTATTTTTGAGAACATTCCTTCAGGTACTTTTCTTTTATATACTTCCTCTGAGTACTTCTTTTACCCCTGACAGGATCATTCAAATAAAATGAAATCTAATTCCCCTTTTCTTTGGCCATCTCTAAAGTTTTGGGTATGTACCAGGACCTTTTCCTTATGGTGTTTGCATGTTTTCTCCAGGTTCTCTGGTTTCCTCCCACAGTCCAAAAGACATGCAGGTTAAGCCGACTAGCGTCTCTAAATTGCCTGTCAGTGGGAATGTCTTTTGTGTCGCTCAGTGTGTCAGCCCAGTGACGAAGTGGCGACCTGTCCGGGTTGTACCCCGCCTCTCAGCCAAGCTGGGATTGGCTCCAGCACTGTGACCCTTGGAGGTATAGATAATAGATGGAGGGATCTTGTCATACTAGAGGGAGGCTTTAGTATTCTTCTACAATGACAATGATAAAATGTTATACACGTAGACTATTTTGTTTGAATTTGCAATTACACACAAGCAAAACACAAAAAATACAAGTATGGGATAAGAATTATGTTGAAACCTCAGGAAGAGCATCAGAAGAGGTCCCCCCTTCAGAAGAAGACAGATATATTTATAGTAGATAAAGGGAAAAGACAGAATCAGCTGCATCAATTTATTCTCTGTATTAGTATATTTGTATTTAAATGCCTCTGAATATGAAATCTCAAGCAAACTAAGGTTCACCTGGTTTCATCTGGGTGAACTGGTTTGCATGTGGCCACATTCTTTTTGATCCTTCAACGCAAATGCATTCTAGGTCACATATTATGGACAGCCTACTCCAACAGCTCTTACAGCTGACGTGTCCCTACACTTTGAGCATATTTGTATGCTTCCTGTGTCTTCATAGTTGCATGCACACACACACACACACACACATTGTCATCGGACACGTTTGTAAACTCGAGCTGGGTAGAAACAACATAAATGGTTGTGTTTAATTGCATATAGAGCAGGGAAGAGGGATCTGATCATTAGTGGTCACATGAGACACATTCTGGAATCATTTTATTGCACAAGTGTGGACAGACTTTCTTAACGCTGTCCACTTGTGATCGGATCTTTCAGGATAATACCTGGTCTGAACAAGGCCTCAGAGGTCAGGAAGTCTATAAACTGAGTCTGAGTAAAACTAACTGTGATTGAATTAGTGACAGGTGATGATAACAGAGGTCAATGTGACACTGGACAGCTCACCAGATGGATATAAGG